TTACCCACTCGACTACTCACTGGTTGTAAACCTTGGGTCATCGACAGGCTTTGAATGACTCAAAAGCTCCGCGAGCAGGTTTGGGTCAAGTTGGATTGATGCCCATTCTTGCACAGCTCAGGAACGGATTTTGGACAATGTTCGGCGGTATCCGAACAATGAGAAGTATAGGTGCACTGACAGCAGTACCATTCCAGATAGCACTGCAGACCAGGCCACACAACGTTTTGCCACAATTCTGGAGGCTGAGACTAAGACATCCAAAATTTGCTAGAGCTACTTACTGGCAACCTTTTAACTTCAAGCCTCATTATACTGGTTTGTTTGCACAGTAGTTTGAAACATCTAAAAGGTGACCCTCATTTACTTCGCATGCTTCCACTCTCGCAAGTTTCACATGAGTTGCAACATCACGTGGCCGTGGAAGGTGTATCAACCTGGCAAAATCCTCTGGACACAAGGCCATGCGATAAACTGGCGGCTAATTTGCTGGAGTCTGTAGACATCTTGAAATCCTTGTGCTTGAGGCATGTGTACAAATCGTGGACTGTCACCCATCCCCGGACGGACATCCTGATTTTTGTGGGTTCAGCTCTTGCTGAAAAACGTGACTCTATTTGGTGCTAAGGGCCACTGCTCCTGTACTCTCTGACAAGTCTAACTACAGTATATGAACCGCTTTTGGTCTCCTCCCTCGCCATCTTTCTATCCTTTCCATTCCTTTCCCTTTTCCTGGGTCTCCACAGGTGTGACCTCAGCGGTAGTTGCAACCATTTGCAACCATTCATTTTTGGTTCTTCGTGATTTTGCATCACATTTCGGAATGCCGTCATAAACGTGTTTTTGATTCTTGCTACATCTCTGCGCTGGCTGAAGAACTTTTCCTAATGTTGGACTTCTACCCACAACCATGTTCACCTGTTGCAACTCTTGATGTCGCTTGGTCCCATTTGTCAGTGGTTAATGTTCTACCACCGAATCCCCAGGTATAGACATTATGAAGAAGCTTACAGCCCTTTTCTGTGTGGCCATCTGGAAAGAAGAATTGGAAAGCATTGGTTTGGTAGTGACCTGGTTGGTCAAACAGTCGCGTGGCTGATCCCTAGATATTTTGAAACCAGCGAGGTGCTACAAGCCCTGCCACTCTTGAAAGCAGCTGGTTTCGAGCAACAATCTGCAGCCAATGGGGAGGAGCCCTGCGAGTGTGGCGCTGGTTCTTTGGGCGAGAGAGACGGGAGGGCATGAGCGTTTTCACATATTTGTATATATTATATATATATATATATGTTTGTGTATCTATCATTATCTATCATTATCTATCATTATCTATCTATCTATCTATCTATCTGTCTGTCTATCTATCTAGCTATCTATATATCTGTCTGTCTGTCTGTCTGTCTATCTGTCTATCTATCTATCTGTCCGTCCGTCTGTCTGGCTGTCTGTCTATCTATCTGTGTGCATATATGCACATATGTATATCCTGCCTAACATCCGTCTTGTTTGCAGGTGTATGTTGCACGGCAGTCGGTAATCTGGTTGAGGAAGCACTTCCTGCTGTCCTGTGGGTAGACTGCCAAGGGTCCCACCATGATGGATTTCGAACATGTTTCAGTCACAGGGCGTGCCAGTGTTGGATAGCCAATGATGTGAAATGATACCTTGTTGATTGACTTGACTTTTGAAGTACCTCCAAGTTTTTAATTATATACCTTGACTGCACAACTGTTCTTCCCTGTCTATGCAGGACTTGCTACAGCTGCACCGAGTTCATGTGGACTTGTTGGAGCGAGCACCTGGACTGAAGTTTTCCGCAGAATCCGTGGCTCACAGCTATCCAAACCAAGAAATGATAGTGCCCCATCAAATAGAACAAATGTTTAAGTACCCATAGTTCTGTGAAGCTCTTTTGAAGAGGTTCAGCATGTTATGTACAGTTCATTCAACTCAAGCAAAGCACATTGTCATTTTTCCCTGAGTGACCTCCTGCTGTATATATATAGCCAGGTTGATATGTCATTCCTGTTGTCGTTTGGGTTCAACAGGGCCATTGAGCCGTTCCGTGCTATTGAAAGCTGTGCTCGGTGCATTTGGACTGCGCGATGCCGGTTCCAATTCACATTGGCAGCGGAGCAAGCGACGACCTGCAGTCGGGTACGCGGCAGATCCAGGAATCCTTTGTGTACCTTCAGCGCCCAGCTAGAGTTTGAACATCCGTTCTTGAGTGAGGCAGCCCTGAATTTTATTGAGTGATTGCGTCACCCTATGAGATTGGCATGTTGGGACCGAGCTTAGGACGAAGTTGCATGACAACCGCAGAGGGCTTGTCGTTGAGCCTGCCACTGCAGGCGCATTCAACCCTTGGTGGGCTCAGTGAGGAAGACTTACCAGCACGGGCCCATCTGCGGCATGTCAGAGCCATTTGGGATAGAGCTTGTGCTTGAAATGGCGCACATTTCGCAAGAAGCTATTCAGCTATTCCTCACTTGGATTCCTCACTCGGCATGAATTGCCGCAATTTGGACGACAACCTTGATCAGAAGTTCCAGGACCCGATGATGGCTTGTGGCTTGTGGAGAGATGGAAGGAGAACATGGCGCGCAATTGAATGAAATCGGGAGATTGATTGACTCACATGGGTTTCCTCTCACACCATAAACTCATAGTACCTCGCGACACCAGCCAGGCCAGATCTGATCCTCAAGACCTTGCACGAGTGCATTGTCCCTGTAGACAAGGAGAAACAGCAATGAAGAACCGATAACATCTGTAGTATATAGGTGACTTGAGCGTGATTTTTCTCTAAGTCGCCCCCCGCCGTATAGCCAGATTGACATGTTGATATGTCATTCCTGTTGCCATGAGGGTTCAGCAGGGCCATTGAGCATTTATGTGTTATTGAAAAGCAATCTTCACGCACTTGATGAAACGAAAAAGGAAACTGAATTGCGAATTCGCCTAGATTCATCACGATTTATCGCTTTGGAAACCCAAAGCCAAAACCTACAGTATACAGCACCGTTTCAACTGTCCTGGGCCAAGGTTTGGGCAATGGTTTGGTGGGCAGATCGTGGTCATGACATGATCAAACAGCACCCCGGCCCAGATGCTGATACTTTGGCAACGCCTAGGGGCCTAGAAACAACCAAGTGTCAGCCTGAAATGAGAAAGTACTTACCTTCAGGCAGGCCAGGTGAATATAAAACTTGTTTCCCAGAATGGTGTTTTTTTTTTGGGCCCTTTCAATTTTTTTGAACCACCCGACGCCGCCAGAGACCTTTGCGCGGCTGGGTAACAATGATGGCCCCGGAATCTATATTTTGACAATTGATATTTTTTAATTGCAAATGGGACCGGTACGGAGGCACTGTCAACGGGTCAATTGTTTCAAAGGCTGCCGCCTCCGCAAAGTAACAAATCTCGAGCCTTGGGCGCTTTGCTGGGCATGGTGGTGGGCGATGCGCTTGGAGCACCGTTGGGCGGTCAGGACCTGCTGTGCTAGGACCCAAGGTTGAAATAACGTTAAAACATCAGCTCAGGAAATAGGAAAAAATGTTTGATGTTTGACATCCGTTGATAATCTGGTGATAATCTCAGGGTAAATGGAACGACCTGCTTTGCTGGATTGGTCGTTGGCTTGTACAGGACCCAATGGCTGTCACAGTTCAAGAGGTGGACAAGGTGGGTAGGACGATTGTTTTGACCATGTCTGACTCATGAAAATCCAAAAACGAGTCTGGAGACCACTAGACAATGCTAGAAACTAAAGTTTCTAAAGTCACTACTGTTGCAGTCTGGTGAGGTTTGGTGAGTGTGGCATGGTGTGGTTTTGCTGTTGAGGCCATGGAGATGTGCGGTGGCGGCTTGTGGGGAGTGGCACCTGGACAGGTCACTGGTCACTCTGAACTGTTGCTCTGCACACTGTCCGCCCTGGTGGAGGGAGGCCAGGGAGCCTTCCCCATGGAGGCACAGGGTGGGAAGCAGCCGAGTAGTTTTAGTCAAGTAACAAGTATAAGTCTTATTGTGGGTATGTTGCTTTGAGGTTATCGGCAGCTTGCGACCCCTCCAAACACACACACAAACACACACACACACAAACACACACACAAACACACACACACACATACGCAGAACACAACGGGCATCTCATTGATTACTGATGGAGGCAGTGAGGCCGTGAATCGGTCAAAAGTTGTATCGCTGCTTTATCTATTTTGCCCTCAAACCTTCCAGTGCTGGGGTGCGCTAAGTGATGCAGGGTCTTTAGAAGGATGTGGAACCATACAGCAAAGTGCAGTTCTTTGCAGCTAGTTGATGCTAGTTGATGGTCGTCAAGTCGAAGTGCTTTTGCAAGTGGTAGTGACGTGGTCTTAGGAAATGGACTCCATGCGCAGGACATGGCGTTGAGGTACGGCAAGTGGGGAAAGTCTTTGCCCTTCCGTGGTGATCGCGCCTGCCTTCAGGCAATTTCACTGCTGTGAAGTCACAACCGACCGGTATTGAATCGTGGTCTGTTGAAAACAACTGTGTGTCTACTTTGAAGAGGGCACGGATACAAGTCAAAATCCTTTTTTTCCCGGAGGTTCCATGTCAAATTAAAGGGGTATATACATAGATCCATAGACTCATATAATACTTATATATACTTATATAAAAGATATTGATATTTTCATATATATATATATATATATGCCCTTGCCACTAACTACATTTGCAGGGAGATGCAATCAAAGCCGCGGCGTCACCGGATTCGGTGTTTTCTACGAAAGATTTTGTTTGAGCATGCTTTCTCTGCACACTGTAAATTCCAGTCTCGTTGGAATTGTGAGTAGCTACAGGCAATTTTGCGTTTCTTCGTGAGCACCTCAGGTCTTCGCGAGACCCATGCCGGCTGAGAGTATGGCAGAACGAGCTCGGGAGGTGTGGTATTCCAGAAAAATTGGAATATTTGTATCCATTATAAATCATATATACATATAGAGTTGGTTGTTCGTGGTGACTTTCTGATTGCAGCTTAGCGTGTTCTTTTGCCAGAGTTCACTTGAAGCCACTTGGCTTTTGTCATTGTGCTTTGAGAAGGGCAAACCGCGGCATCACGTGAGGTGAATCAGAAGTCGATGAGCTGTGGTGCGATTGTGAGGCCTCAAGGGATTAGGGTCATTAGAGGTTTTAGGTCTTGATAATCCTCAGGCAATTGAATTGATTCATCGAAGTCCGAAGGCCGGCGAACCATTTCCGTTTCTGTGAAGCTGAACCGAGAATATGCCATTATGAGCTGCAAAGTGTGTAGAAGAACCTAAGCAAATAATAGTTAGTTGTTTGTCATCCTTGGAGTGCGTACAGTATCTACAGCATCCTGACATATGGTGAGAATTTGTGAGATCCGAGATTTCCGAAATCGTGATTTGAAACTTGGACTTGGCGTTGTCAGGTGTCCGGCCTTGGCAGTAGCTGCTGGCTCACCCGAGAAGGCAGCGCAATTGGCCAACGAGGATGTTCGGCTCTCGCATGCGAACCGTCTCTGGGCTGAACTTGGACCTCTCATGACATGGTCATGACATGGTCATGACATAGCTAGCTCGAGCTACTTGTATGCTGAAAAATATGCTGAAAGCATTTAAACTCATTTCAAAATCATGCAGGCCATGAGTGGGCAGCTAGACGGTCCCCACATGTGGACGGTTGAAAATCGAAAGGCACCATGGCTTTTGCTTGCGCCGCGTATTCCGTCGCTTTGTCACAACTCATCAATGGCCAAGAAGATGTGGAGTCCTGGCTCAAGAGGACTGCCATTGACTGAAAACAATCTTGGTGTATGTGCGTACCAGGCGTACCAATTTTCAACCGAATCCTGGGAGCCAGGAGCTTGGACCGCATCAAGTCAGGTGTGAAGAGCGGACATGGAGGCGTTGTGGAGCCGTATCACAGCAGTTTCAATACACACCAGGTCACCACGTAATCAAAACGACTTACAATATCTTACAATATCTTACAATATCTTACAATATCTTACGATATCTTACGATATCTTACGATATCTTACGATATCTTACGATATCTTACGATATCTTACGATATCTTACGATATCTTACGATATCTTACAATATCTTACAATATCTTACAATATCTTACAATATCTTACAATATCTTACCATATCTTACAATATCTTACAATATCTTACAATATCTTACAATATCTTACAATATCTTACAATATCTTACAATATCTTACAATATCTTACAATATCTACAATATCTTAATATCTTACAATATCTTACAATATCTTACAATATCTTACAATATCTTACAATATCTTACAATATCTATCTACGATATCTTACGATATCTTACAATATCTTACAATATCTTACAATATCTTACAATATCTTACAATATCTTACAATATCTTACAATATCTTACAATATCTTACAATATCTTACAATATCTTACAATATCTTATCAATATCTTACAATATCTTACAATATCTTACAATATCTTACAATATCTTACAATATCTTACTATCTTACATATCTTACGATTTGACATATCTACAATATCTTAACATACTCTTACAATCCCTTACATACCTTAAATACCTTACATACCTTACAATAACTAAATATCTTACAATACTTATCAATATCTTACAATCTTACAATATCTTACCATAATCTTACAATAGCGTTACAATATCTTGTTGTTTTATCTTTACGTTTGAGTCCGTACGGTTGGTTGGAAGTAACCAAGTTAAAAGGAATAAGGGCACTTAATGAGGATAAAACCGCAGTCAGGGGGCATGATAAGCGTTCTTAAGTCGGAATGGGAGAGAAACAGAGAACAGCAAAACAAAAAGGACATAATCTTACAATACTTTTCCCTACGTGTAAACTATCGCAGAGGCAATGTCAGCCATTGCCACTGTCAGCACGTCAGCCTTGGTCAAGTTGGGAGCCACGGCAGGTGCCATCCAAGCCAAAGGAGCCAAGGATCCTACGAAAGAAGAGTGTTGGGCCCCACCAGGACGGGGTTACCCGGGTTGGCAAATTTTCTTTGGATGTCTTTGGTAAATTTTGGTAAGGTTTCTATAGGTTTCTGATGTTTCTGTCCAAAAGTTAAACCTGTTCACTTGATTTCACTTGTTCACCGCCATCCTTATCAAAATCATCAAAATCATCAAGATCATCAAGATCATCAAGATAATCAAGATCAAGACTCGAAGAGCGCCAGCATTGATCGCGAAAGCTAGCAGTAGCTAGCTGGAGTTACTCTTGCTTCAGCAATGGGAGGGGCAGGTCTGAGTCCAACACAGTGATTTTTCACTTGAACCCTCCCCCTACCCCCCCCCTCCCGGGGCAATTTGAAGCGGTGTTGGAAGCAGATGGTCACGGGATCAAATCCTGCCAGGTCTCAAGGCAATATGTATTCAGCATATCAAAATCCCGTCAATTTTCCAGGCTCATATGAACCCCAGCCTTCGTTCACCCTCCCTCTCTACAAACCAACGTTTCTGGCAGCTCGTTGCTTTCACAGAAATCACGAAAGGTAGCTCCAGAGGGGCTACCTTGAGTTTTACTTTACGAAGTAAAGGGGAGGGCGGCCAGCCCCGTTACCTGATTCTTCAGGAGATTGCTAGTCATTTTAGTACCCCCCCCCTCCACACCTCCCACGCACCCTAAGAGCAGACTCAAAACATTGTAATTTACAGTATTTTTGTTCTTTTCGGATCAAGAAACCACATTTTGCTACATGGTGAAACCTCCGTAAATACCAGTGTTTTTGCTAGGTGCTGGCCAAAAAACACTGTAAATACCGTGCTTTTTCCTACCAGAGGCAAAAAACATCGTAAATACCGTGGTTTTGGGCTTCCGACCCGCCAAAAACATCGGTATTTACGGTGTTTTTTGCTCCGAGAGTTGCAAAAACACGCGAAAACACCACCGATTTGACGATTTTCGGCCACTACGGAACCGAGCAAAAACGCTGCAGGGGTAACACCAACACCAACAACAACAACACCAACAGCAACAGCAACAACAACAACAACGACGACAACAACAACAACAACAACAACAACAACAACACCAACACACAACGCACAATGCACAACGCACAACGCACAATGCACAACGCACAACGCACAACGCACAACGCACAACACACAACACACAAAACACACAACACACACACAACACACACAACACACACAACACACACAACAACACACAACAACACACAACAACACACACACACAACCACACACAACAACACACACACACACAACAACACACAACAACACACCACAACACACAACAACACACAACAACACACGCAACACACAACAACGCAACAACGCAACAACAACGCAACAACAACACACAACAACACACAACAACACACACAACAACACAAACAACACACAACAACACACCACAACACACCACAACACACAAAACAACACACAACAACACACAACAACACACAACAACACACAACAACACACAACAACCCCCATCAGCTACCCATGCCACATTATACTACAAACGAACCACCCCACAACAAGCCACAAGCCCACAACAACACCACAACAACACAACAACAACACAACAACACACAACAACACACAACAACACACAACAACACACAACAACACACAACAACACACAACAACACACAACAACACACAACAGCACACAACAACACACAACAACACACAACAACACACAACAACACACAACAACACACAACAACACACAACAACACTCAACAACACACAACAACACACAACAACACACAACAACACACAACAACACACAACAACACACAACAACACACAACAACACACAACAACACACAACAACACACAAAAACACACAACAACACACAACAAAACACAACAACACACAACAACACACAACAACACACAACAACACACAACAACACACAACAACACACAACAACACACAACAACACACAACAACCACAACAACCACAACAACCACAACAACCACAACAACCACAACAACCACAACAACTACAACAACAACGAATGACAACAATAACAACAACAACGCACAACAACACACAACAACACACAACAAAACACAACAACACACAACAACAAACAACAACACACAACAACACACAACAACACACAACAACACACAACAACACACAACAACAACAACAACAACAACAACAACAACACCATCAACAGCAGCAGCAGCAACAACAGCAACAACAACAACAACAACAACACCAACAACACGACCAACAACACCAACACCACCAACAAACCCAACCACACCAACAACAACAGCAACAACAACAACAACAACAACACCAACAACACGACCAACAACACCAACACCACCAACAAACCCAACCACACCAACAACACTAACAACACTAACAACACCAGAAACACTACCACCACCAACAACACCAACACCACCAGCACCACCAACACCACCAACACCACAACCACCACCAACCCCAACCACATCGCCGAAGCCTTTCAGTCGCTTTTAGCAGACTCCCCTTCATATTTTTAGAAAGAAAATGGCCGCGTCGCTTTTACCAGACTCCACTTTATGTATTTTTCCCTCCCCTCTCCCCTTCATTTTTTCTTCGGTTCCTTTCTTGCTTACCTACCTTTCGTGTTCCCCCTCTCAAGTGAATTGATTTTGCCTTTGCATCCTTCTGCCATCCCTTCGCCTTTCCATCCCTAACAGCTGCCTCCCAGCCTGTCCGTCTCAGTTTCAAGACAAGATAGACAAGACCATTTGACTGCTCATGCAGCACAATTCCATTGATGTCGTTGATTCCATTTGTTTCCATTGTTTTGCATTCGTTTATTTAGTTCCTTAGTTCCTCTGAAATGTCAGTATCCATGATTGCAGCTGCACAGGTGAAGAGTTGGTGGCCTGCGAACAGGTCCTGCAGTGGTTGCGCCGGGCCAAGAGCAACGAATTTCTGGAAGTCTCCGACATGGCAGTGCCTCGCAGACATGGCTTGACATGGCCTATATAGGTATGCCCAGCAGACGGCAGCATTCGTGAGTCTTGTGGCACCAATTTCCAAGAGCCAACTAGTTTTGACATGTTTCGACTGCCTCTGATTCTTGTTTTGGAGTTTTCTTGTTTTTTGCCTGGAATCCGAATTCCAACCGCCAAGCGCTGAGCCAAGGCACAATCGCTGCTGAGCCACGAAGTTGGCACTGTTGAAATCCCGCTGCTTGTCAAAGCTTGTGAAGATATGTCAAGATGCTTTCTTCATCTTCAATCATTGCACCAGCGGAAGAAAGTCCTTTCAACAAACATCATTTAATTTACGTTGCAACATTGTCGACCATGGCGAAGCTGTGATGGTCCAAGTCCATTTTAAAAAATCAGGACCTGCTACCAGTAGCGTTCTGTTTGGTTGGATTTCTGCAAGTCTAGACGACCCTTTCTCCAACTGAGCAGTGCCCAACATATCCTTCAAACTACATCAAACTACCATATAAAAGGCGTAAAAGGGATGTGTCACATTTTGGCACTACAACACTATGAATCCAATTGCCGCATGTAAGCTGCTTAATCATAAACGAGATGCTTGGGGAAGTCTTAACCCTTTTTGATGTAAGTATTAAGTATCAATGATTACCAATGCTCGAACACATGTTGAGTATTTCGTTTGCGTTACTTCAAACTTCCCCACTGGCTTAACATGAGTTGACTTTCGACGAAACGTTTGGCAGGTTTTGCCATGCATTCAGACATTTGAACAGCAAGAGCTCTTTTGAGGAGCGCTTGATGAGATTGGCGCCGCATGGCAAACCAAAAATTGCCAGTCATTGCGGACATACTGGTATTATAGTTGTTATTTTCTGTTAATATATTCTTCTCGTAAATGATCATTAGATATTAGATATTTTTTCCTTTGTTCATAGTCTCGCAATGTCTGGCAATCATTAGGTTTTAAGGCAATCCTCTCCAATTTTCGACTGTAATTCTTGCTTCTACAGGATCTATACCACACCATGCTGCAGATACACATCAATGCAGGACGCCATGAGAAGCATATTGGCGGGTGGAGGTGACTCCAGTCCGGCGCTGAGTGGCCTTTCTGTGCAGGGCGAGCTATTTGAGGACGTCTAAATGGCTTTGATATGCGACAATGCGGAGGCAGTTGCCTTGAGGACACGCTGGAAAAGCATCATGTAGTTTGTTTTGTTGTGGAGGTGGAGATAGGCGGACAAATGTGACAAATCATTTGCCATTCATGGCACTTCAATGCGTTTCATGGCTGCGGGTTCTGAATACTTCTGAGGTAGCACGGCCTGTGTCGTTGGAGGCCTCCTGGGTGCTGCATATGGTGTCGAAGGAATTCCTGCCACTTGGAAGCATAGAACTTTCAGTCAACACTTCCAATACAAACTGCCAGCGTTCCATCAGACTCAAATCGCAGATTCGAACGAAATCACAGAAGATGCTGAATACGTCTGAATACGACAACTTGGCACCATGTCATCCATGTCCAACATGCTCCATTTTGTGCTCCATTTTGTGCTCCGTTTTGGACTATTTTGGAGTAATCTAAGCGCTCAGTCTTCATCGATCGACTTAGGAGCGCTGGCTCCGTGCAGTACTGTCTTGCGATCAGAGTCATGGGCATCAGCGCCCTTTGGTGCCGTGGCAAAAGGTACACGTTGCAGCAAAACTGGACAAATGCATTGGATTGCATTGATTTGTGACCAAGCAAAGCAGAACAACGTAATCAATCATAATCATACATATCATACAATATCCATATATATATACATATATATATATATCATTATATATCCATGATAAAGACAGAAACCTGGTGAAAAGAGGCGACAGATATCACAAGACCATCGGTGTTTCTGGATGTTTTGGCCCGTCCCAGGAGTATCATCCAAAGGTGCTGCCAGAGCTTTGTGCCAAGCTGGTGCGATGACAAAACGTTTGTGGATCCATGGACTCCATGGACTCCATGGACTCCATGGACCGGAAAGGTGCGAGTCGCGGTTGGAGCGGCTTCGGTTTCTGCCTTTTTTGTCAGGAAGTCCCTGAACATCTCTGAACACATTGTCAGATACACTGGGCGATTGGTTGGAGTCCCGAGATACACACGAGAACCGCAAGAGAACAGAGACACGGGACCATGCGGATCCACAATTAAGGGACATCGAATTGGTTTTGGGAAACTTGTTTGTGTCATTTTGTGTCCACATTCTTCCTGTGTCCGAGAGCATGGACATGAGGGGTTCTTGTGAAGCTGTCCGGCAAACTTGATCAAATAAACATGCTTTCATCATGTTTCGTTGTTAGACACAGGCTTCCAGTATAGTATAGTGAAAGCACGACGTTTGCAGCGTTCAGCAGCTTGCCCTTTTCCTTCCGATAGTCCGTGCTTTTGATAGTGATGCATCATGTACTCTAATCATGCTGGATATGATATGAATTGACATGAAACGATATCAAAATATACGTATCAAAATCATTCAAAATCTATTAAAATTATTAACCATTTTTTTGGCTCGTATGACATCTGAAATTGTTCCCTGAAGATCTGCCAGGTGCCTGGCACTCTTTGATCCGCAACACCAGCAATTTGGAAGCATGCCTTTGACGCGTGGAGAGCAGTTTACTTGGGACTGGTCAGTCTTGCTGAGATTTCGGATTGAAAGAACCAACGGGAAACTTGAAAGACTTCATAAATGATGTGCAAAAAAGGACAGTAATTAGTCTGGTACTGTAATATGTACAGTACATGTCCGTATTGGTCTTCGGACTCTCGGGGCTGTTCTTTGAAGAATTACTTGCGCACTAGTAGTTCGTCACAGCACCCTATCACAATAGCGTTGAAGCTTGTTGAAGAAAGACTGCGTGTTTGCAATTTGAAGCGGTCATAAAACTCGGGCAACAACAAAACCAGGCAAATGTTTGAGAAAACCGGGGGGAGCAGCTCGCATGGCATACAAGGACTGGGTAAAAATCACAAGGATCACCAGCTCACGGTAGCCCCTCTACATACACACGCGCGATGTCCAAGGAGCCGAGTGGATGCTCAGAAGAGGCTCTCTGCCGAGTGGTGAGTGCACACAAAGTTCCATCGTTGTTTCCTGAGAGGCCAACTTTCTGTACACTCAATCCCATAGAAGTTTGAATCGCAATAAATCATGCCGAGCATATAGGTTTTGCGACAAAGAGTTGCATGATTTGAAACGTGAAATGCCAGCTCTATTTACAGGTATAGTTGGCCAGTTCCCACAGGATGCTGGGACAGTTGGTGTGCCTCACCAACCAGCAGGCATCGGCTGTGTTAATTGTGAAACAGTTTTGTAGTGCATCTTTTGTGCATCATTTGTGCAGGGACCCAAGTGAATGTCCCCTCTCCTTGTGCCAGTTTTGGATGGTGAATCGTGATGAAAAGTGATGAAGGGTGGCTATTGATAACGAAATAGGAAGAATGTGCAACTGGTGCAAGGAGACGATCAGTGCCCCAAGCGCTGGTCAATCAATCCATTTAATGATTCAGAAACGCTTCTAAGATCTTCGCGGCGAATTGAAGATATTGAAGACTGTACAGACCAAGCTCTCGGAATTCACCTCAATTTGAAGGAGGCACAGATCTGGAGCAACGCAGTTTTCAGCTGGGAAATTGCTGCGCCGACTTTGCAGCGATCCGACACCGATTAATGATTTGGGGAAACACCATGAACCACCTCTTTGTTGGAATGAGGTTCTCATTTCAAGAGCTAAAGCATATCACAAATCGATACTAACGACAGTTCGATTGATTTGTTTGCCTGATTGGCCGAGGGTCTTGATAGTGCACACTGTCTTGAAGGGCTCAAAGCCCGCTGTCTCCAACACGGTGTGACAGGATTTCGTTGCCTCCTACTACGAGTCATATGAGAAGGCTTGGAGTTGGATAGCTTAAAACGCTACAGGTACTTGATGCTATATCCTAGGGGTTGGCAATCCACGCATAGATTTCTTGCCCAAGTGAACAGTTCCCAGACTCACACATAGGTCACATGGTCATTGTGCCTTCCAGTATATAACTTCAAAGTGCATGATCAGTTAGGCACACGTTGTGCTCAAACCCGCTTTGCACAGTTTTTCAAGCGCGGCGCAGTGGAGGTGGCGCCTCATGATGATGCCGAGGAGGTCGAGGAGGCGCTGGGATGTCATGTGTTAGAGAAGAAACCAGAGTCGTAGCTAGAAAGGTACCAAGTTTTAAAAATATGAAGATGATTGAAGAATACAGATGATATGCCGGTGATATGCCCCGGAACACCAGAGACTGAGATGCATAGTTCTATAGTATTCTATAGTTATATAATGTTATATATAATTATGTATATATAATAATGTATATGTAATTATGTATATTATATATATTATATATGATATATATATTAAATATATAATATATATAATTATATAATTATATATTATACATATTATATATTATATATATTATATATTATATATATATTATATATATATTATATATTATATATATTATATATATTATATATTATATATATTATATATATTATATATTATATATATATATTATATATTATATATATTATATATATAATATATTATATATATATTATATATTATATATATTATATATTATATATATATATTATATATAATATATATTATATATTATATATATATTATATATAATATATATTATATATTATATATATGTTATATCATATCTGTTATATATACCATATATTATGTATCATATACATAATTATATATATATATTATTTAATTATATAATATATATATATACTATATACTATTATATGTTATATATTATATATTATATATTATATATTTTATTATATATTATATATAATATATTATATATATTTTATATATTACATATATTATATATATTATATATATTATATATATTATATATTATATATATCATATATATTATAAATGTTATATATATTATAAATGTTATATATATTATATATTATATATATGATATATATATTATATTATATATATATATATATATATTATCTATATTATATATATATTATCTATTATATATGTATTATATATATTATTTAGATTATATATATATTATATATTTTATATATTTATATATTATATATATCATATATATTATATATTATATATTATATATTATTTATTATATATATAATATTATATATAATATAATATATTTATATATAATATTTATACGTATATCTGGTGTGATCAAAGTTAATCCCCAATCATTAGGCGGATTGCGGATTAAACGGCGGATTGCGGATTATGAAAGAACTCTTCGCTCGGCGTTTGGCTCCCGTGTGAAAGTTAGACTTCAGAGTTCCTAAGTCTCTAGGATGAAGGGGTTTCAAAATAATTTCTTTTATATTCTTTTATGATTTGTTTTTTTTTTACGATTTCCATTTATGTTTTTCTTATGGGTTCAAATTGTGGTTATGTTTTTTTTGGTTTTCAGTACGATTGGGAAATCACATGATTTTTTTTTGGTTTTGGATATGTTTTATTTTTTTTTATGGCTTTGGATATGTTTTTTTTAATGGATGTGGATATTTTTTTAAACGATTTTATTATGGGTTTGGAAATGGTTTTGGCCAAAATCGTAAAAACATCGTAAATTTCTCGAGTTTTTGGCTAAAAAACCGATTCTAGGGACCTTGGTGGCATTTACGTTTTTTTTAAATGTTTTTTTTTTTTACTATTTTGGTACGGTTCCCTACGAAAATCGCAAAAAAATCGTAAATTTCTCGAGTTTTTGGCTAAAAACCAGGTTCTGGGGACCTTGGTTGCATTTACGATTTTTTTACGATTTTGGCTCCAAATCAGGTTCTGGTGGTGGAAAGGCTTCTGGGAAAGGGAAACCCCCCAAAATCGTAAAGAAATCGTAAACAAATCGTAAATTTCTCGAGTGTTTGGCTAAAAAACCGATTCTAGGGACCTTGGTGGCATTTACATGCATTTACGATTTTTTTACGTTTTTTTTTTTACGATTTTGGCACGGTTCCCTACGAAAATCGTAAAAAAAAAAAAATCGTAAACACAAATCGATCGTAAATTTTTCCTTTGCGTTTTTGTGGCAAAAAAGAAAAAAAAAAAAAAAAAAAAACAAAAAAAAAAAAAAACGTTCTATAAGGGACCTTGGGTAGCAATTTACGATTTTTTTTAAACGTTTTTTTTAAATGTTTTTTTTTTTTACTATTTTGGTACGGTTCCCTACGAAAATCGCAAAAAAATCGTAAATTTCTCGAGTTTTTGGCTAAAAACCAGGTTCTGGGGACCTTGGTTGCATTTACGATTTTTTTTAAACGTATTTGTTATATTTTTTTTTTTTATTTTTTTCCAATTGCTTTTTCAAAATCAGGTTCTGTGGTGGGAAAGGCTTCTGTCAAGGGAAACTTCTAAAACCAAAATGCAGATTAAAAAAATCAACCTTGTATTCAAACCAAACCATAAAAAAAAAACATATTGCAAACCCATAAAAAAAACAAAGTCATTTTCCCAACCATAATAAGACTTAATCGTATCAAAATCAAAACCTTTTAAAATTTCATAAAAGTCATAGTTTTTTCTCAACCAATAAAAAACATATCTGCAAATCATCAAAAAAAAAATCAATCATTAAAAAAAAAAAACGTAATATAAAAAACAAATTATTTGGCCAAAACGGGCATCCTAAAGGAATTATAAGCTGCTGAAAAGTTGGGTATACCCGCCCTCCGTGCGCCATAAGAATTCCTTGCTTAAGACAGAACAAAAAAAACAAGGCTCATTCAAGATTGCACTAGAAGCATAGCTTGGGGAACGCGCCTGCCAGCCACGACACGGAAAATTCTTTTTTCGTCGAATGACACCCACTCATGTTTCCGTGACTTTGAGGTCCTGAAAGTACAAAACAAAAGGCTCATTCGAGAAATGCAAGGAATCACTTTGGAAGGCGCCTTCCACGGAAAATTCATTTTCTCGAATGACCATGTTTTCGTGACTTTGCATCTTGAAAGTAGCGAAAACATGCTCATTCGAGAAATGCAAGGAAGCACCTTGGAAGGCGGCTTCCGCGGAAAATGCTTTTAATCGAAGATAATCGAAGTAGCAAAAGCAGGCTCATTCGAGAAATGCAAGGAATCACTTTGGAAGGCGCCTTCCACGGAAAATTCATTTTCTCGAATGACCATGTTTTCGTGACTTTGCATCTTGAAAGTAGCGAAAACATGCTCATTCGAGAAATGCAAGGAAGCACCTTGGAAGGCGGCTTCCGCGGAAAATGCTTTTAATCGAAGATAATCGAAGTAGCAAAAGCAGGCTCATTCGAGAAATGCAAGGAAGCACCTTGGAAGGCGCCTTCCACGGATTTTTTTCCTCGAATGACCCTGTTTTGTTCATTCGAGAAATGCAAGGAAGCACTGATGCAACCGTTGTTAACAAACCTTTGATGCCTAGTATGGTCTTATTATGTCTTATTGATCTTATTGAACCCCAACATAGATGTAGACCCTTCAGCGGATTACGGATTATCGAAGGAAGCTTAGAAGTCAAACTTCCGACAATATGGACAGATGAAAAAAGCAGATGAAAAAAGCAGAGATGGGAAGAGTCAGGGAAAAGAGAATAAGAAAGAAGATCAAAAAAGAGAAAGTCTCCGAAGAAAGAAGATCCAGGTGCGCGAAAAGGTAGGAAAGTCTCGAAACACTGTGTTTTTCCAATGATTTGTGGCTCCGGAGGGTCGAAAAGTAGGCTCGCTAAAGCGGCGGGTGCGGAGCCAGCTGGCCAGATGAGAGGTGAAAAATTGCATGCCGTTGTGGCGCGAAGCACATGTCCAAGTCAAAATGTAACAAAACACCTCAGCTTCGGACCGCTTTTGGAAGTTGTGATGTCGAAAAAGTGCACGCCGTTGTGGCGCGAAGCAAAGTGCACGCTGTTCTGGCGCGAAGCACATTTCGAAGCCAAAATGTACAAAACACACCACGTTCAGACCGCTTTTGGAAGTTGAGATGTCGAAAAAGTGCACGAAGTTGTGGCGCGAAGCACTTTTCTAAGCCAAAATGTACAAAACACACCACGTTCAGACCACTTTTGGAAGTTGAGATGTCGTTTTGCGTGGCAGGCGCAGGGGAGTTGGCACCTTGTCAAAAGTGAGCAAGACATGAGGGTTTTGTGGCAGTTTCAAAAACGATGGCAGGCGTGGGACATTTGAAGAGGATCTGGAAAGATGTCTTTCGCGTGGCAGGCGCAGTACAAGAGACATGTTCATCAGAGCTGTTCGGAGGTCAGGGCGCTGATTTCATGAGAGGAGTTGCGTTTTGGAGCATCAGATCTTTAGGTTTGCTAAGATGATTTTGTGTGACAGGTGCAGCACTTCGAATGACCTGGCCTCACTTTTTCGTGGCAGGCGCAGTACTTTAGACAGATGGAATGGAAAAATCGCAAAACACATTGGTACGAGGCCGTCAGCTCTGCACTCAACTTTCCATTTTTGAAGGAAGTCTCGCAGAATTGCTTCGTTTTTGATGTTGTCAACTTCAAAATTGAGAAAGTCTCGCAGAATTGCTTCGTTTTTGATGTTGTCAAGTTAAAAAGTTGAAGAAGCCTCGCAGAATTGCTGCGTTGTTTTTGATGTTGTCAAGTTAAAAAATGAGGAAGTCTCGCAGAATAGCTTCGTAGATAGATAGATAGATAGATAGATAGATAGACAGATAGATAGATAGATAGATCGACCGATCGATTGACAGATAGATAAACAGAAAGACAAACATATAAACAGATAGACAGATAGATAGACAACTGCAACTGCACTACACCACAGTACAACTACAACTACAACTACAACGACACTACCACTACAACTACAACTACACTTCAACTACACTTCAGCTACCAGAACTACAGCTACAAACCACAACTACAACTACACTTCAAACTACAACTACAACCTCAGCTACAAGTAGTACAACTACAACTACAATTACAAGTGCCACTACAACTACAACTGCAAGTACAACTACAACTGCAACAACTACTACAACTACACTACAACTGCAACTACAGCTGCACTACGACTGCAACTACAACTTCAGCTACACTACAACTGCAAGTGCAACTACAACTTCAACTTCAATTTCAACTACACTACTACAACAACAATAACCCTGACACTACAACTACAACTCCTACAACTATTGCAACTACTACAATTACTACAATTAAGACAATTACTACTTCAACTACACTACAGCTACAACTACAACTGCAACTACCACTACAACTACAACTACTGCACTACACCACACTACATCCAGGAGTTGTGAGTGAGGTGGCCACTGCAACCATTGCAACAACTCCAAAAAACACAATCCCAACCACTTTTCGGTCCATCAGTGGATTCGCCCTGCCATCCATGCATCACAACAAGTCACCTCTCCTATAGTGTCCTATCAGTCCTATCCTCGAAACTTCCGCCACCGCCTTGTGCAGTACTACTGGTAAACGGATTACGGATTATAGGGGTTAGATCCCGAAACAATGATTACAACGATTACGGATTGCCATTAGCAGCCCGGTGGTTTAGATCAGTCCATATATATATATATAATATTTCATATAAGTCATAGTTGCAGTATGCAGTCGAGGTCACGAAGACTCACACCGACTTGAGTTCCTGGATTAGCCGTGGATTAGCTGCATTGTGTCGTAGTGTGGGCAAAATATATCTTGGAAAAATGTGAAGCCGTGGAACCGACCTTGTGGATCGTCTTTAAGGGCCCAAGGATCCTCAAGGCTTAGTTTGCCGAAAGTGATAAATAGGGTACTGTTGCATCCTTAACAAACCTTAACAAGGATCTATAAGGATCTTTAAGGATCTATAAGGATCTATAAGGATCTTGTAGATCTTGTAGGTTCAACGACTTTTGAGTTCCTGAGACTCTTGCCGCCTGTTGAAGTTTTTGTGGACAGCATGATGATGTAGTGGTGCATCAGGCGCCTCATGCTTAGAGTAGAGACTTAGACGCTCTTACATGCCGATTGCGTTTGAACAACCACTATATGGGGCTGAAAAACAAAGAAATGTACTGTACCTTGTAAATCCTTGTAAGGCGTTCCCAGCCGTGGCCTTTGACCTTGCTTGTAGCTTGATTGTTCATACGGGGCTTTCGGTCAGGACACCTCAAGGGCAGTTGAGCCTTCTCTTCAAATATGTTGCAGCATAATCTCTAGGAACTGGACAAGAGATGACACCAGCATCGATGGGGATTGCTACGATGTCAAGTTGCAACCTACAGCGGTCCACAGCCGCGCCGCTTTTGTGGCTATAAGTTACAAGTCTTAGGTGTCTAACGAGGTCACATCACTTCTTTCTAACCGTCAAATGCAATTATGAGTTGAGTCAGGTGCGGTGCAGAGTTCATGTATTTTTCATGCGTTTTCTTTAATGTGCTGAAGCTCTTTACCGTGTGTATCGGTTAGGTTTTCCTTTCTATTAGGGTATTCTCGGTTTGTGCCCTGGCTGTGGTATCATCTTCCGTTTGCTACTGTATTATACAATATTTCGGTCTGAATTGAAAGCAAATGGAACATCAGACAAGATAGACAAGTCAAGTGAGGAGGGTACAGTAGTTTATACTCCAATTGGTGTTGGGGATCGTTTTGAGGTGGTTCTGCGTCCCCAAGGCACCTGGTAGAAGCTGAGCTTTATATTGGGTTTTAAGACGCTTGAGGAAGAGCGTAGTATCTGCAGTACGTTTTCGTACTTTATTGCTGTTTGCTGTCGTATTTTGCTTGTGTTTGGACAGTGGGTTGCGTTGAATTGATTCTTGCAGGAAGAGTCCCCGACCCAAAACATGAAGCGACTGAGGGCCATACCTGCACACTACAGTGTCACTACATTATACTTATATTATATCTGATGAGAGTCAAGGACCATCTATTTCGCTATTTGCACATTGCTTTGATGGCCCACAAATTGAGTACAGAGATTGTCACACATTGCAGGATGGCGACCGCCGCAACAAACCTATTGAGCCACTGCAAGCTGTTCCTTGTCCGTTAAAGAAATTTCCGGGAGTATTTGTATAGAATTCTATGGTCTAAAGACACTGAGCAAACAGCTGAGCTGCTGAGCCTCTAAATTACATTGAAACTATTTGAAACCAGTGTTAACGCCTTCCCAAGACTGATGTGGAAGCCAACTGGAAACGAATGGAACATTTGGAGTTTGCCGCGTTCGTTCATAATATTTCTTCCTTGGCGAGTTGCAGCTGTTGCAGGCTGGCAATTTTCGAAGTCATGGAAGATGAATAGAAGCCATAAGTTATCTACAAGGTCAAATTGACTTGTCGGACCTTTCGCGTGGGTTGATTCAGAGCATCGATTTTGTTCGAGAGTTGATTGATAGATTCGCTATCTGAGTATGGTTTTCAAAGCTGTCCAAGGTTGACCACTCACAAATAAAATACAATCCAGCCAAATCCTCAGAAGTGCGCAAGTAAAAAGCAGGATTGTCATCAGTTTCGACTGTCCTGAGCATTGCTAGACATTCATTGAGCATTCATGCTGCCAGCGGCTGCAAGTCTTTAACATGTTGGCAAGTTTCTCCGTTGAGGAACGGCCTCACTCATATTGCACATGTGTTCAGGTGCAAACGAACTTCTACTCACCCCACGAGGAGGTTGCCAAAATGACCAATGAACAGGCAGGCCTGGGATGGCCTGGGTGCAAAATCCAACATGCCGTTGCCGCTCAAAGACATTGGCTTGATATGAGCTGGACGCGCAGTTTGAAACAAGAATTCGTTTTTTGCAAGTCCATGGCCGTGTCAGCTCCCAACACGCTTTTTTAACAGATTTTTCTGAACCCTTGACAGGTTGCCAAGATCAGAGTGGACTTGAGAATCAGAACGGGATCCAAGTGTTTGCTTTGCTCAAAGAAGTGTGCTGGTTCTGCAAATACAGCAGTATTGCGACTCCCTTTTGGTTTTGGATTTGGTTGTACTTGTTACCCTTGTCGTGTTTGATGTGCTTGTTCTTGCTCTCCTTGCTTGCTCTTCTTGCTCTCCTCCCTCTTCTTGCTTTGCTTGCTTTTCTTGCTGATCTTGTTCCCTACTACTCCTCTTCTTCAATTTCTTCTTATTTTTCTTCTTCTTGTTGCTGTTGTTGTCGTTGTTGCTTTTGTTGCTCTCGCTCTCGCTCTTCTTGTTCTTCTTGTTCTTCTTGTTCTTCTTGTTCTTCTTGTTCTTCTTGTTCTTCTTGTTCTTCTTGTTCTTCAGTTGCTGCTGCTGCTGTTGTCGTTGTCGTTGTCTTGTCGTTGTGGTTGTCGTTGTGGTTGTGGTTGTGGTTCTGGTTGTGGTTGTGGTTGTTGGTCGTTGGTTGTTGGTTGTTGGTTGTTGGTTGTTGGTTGTGGGTTGTGGTTGTGGTTGTGGTTGTTGTTGTTGTGGTTGTTGTTATTGTTGTTGTGGTTGTGGTTGTGGTTGTTGTGGTTGTTGTGGTTGTTGTGGTTGTTGTGGTTGTTGTGGTTGTTGTGGTTGTTGTGGTTGTGGTTGTGGTTGTGGTTGTGGTTGTTGTTGTTGTTGTTGTTGTTGTTGTTGTTGTTGTTGTTGTTGTTGTTGTTGTTGTTGTTGTTGTGGTCGTCGTCGTCGTCGTCGTGGTTGTTGTTCTTGTTGTTGTTCTTGTTCTTCTTCTTGTTCTTCTTCTTGTTCTTCTTTTTTGTTCTTGCTGCCGTTTTTCTGCTGTTGGTGGTGGGGGCGGTAGCGGTGAAGCTGGCCATGCAGACGCACTAAAGTACAAGAGTACATGTGTACAAGGGTGCAAGGTTACAAGAGCACAATAGTACACATATGATCAACTACATAACGACGACGATGATGATGTTGACGACGACGACGAGGACGGCAGCGGCGACGACGACGATGATGACGACGACGATGATGAGGATGAGGATGAGGATGATGATGACGACGACGACGACGAGGAGGAGGATGAGGATGAGGATGACGATGATGACGGCGACGATGATGATGACGACGACTGAATTTATTATGATCATCATCACATTGCTTGTTGGTGTTTGGGAAGCTGTCAAGAGATGTCAAGATATGCACAACACATGCCCCTTTCACGCAGCCTTGGTTAGAAATTGCTGGTTCTCTACAAGGTGCCACTGGATCGTCGATTCCAGCCCCAGTTACGTCCTTTGCGCACATGGCCCATGTGTTGGGCCGCGAGATTATGGAGGCCTGGACGTAGTTTTGGACCGACCCTCCGTCCAATAGACTTGTAAGGTAACTGGACATTGTATCGTTTTTGCATATAGTATTATATAGTGTAATTGGTATAGATGTATTCATTTTGCATCTCCATGTGGATGTTGTATTGTCGAAGGAGAGGTATAGGAGACGAAACTCAGAGAGTCGCCCTGGCAGAAAGCAGGCTAATTGCTGCGAGCTACTGCAACCACAAGTAGTTCTCACCTTGTCCTTGCATTTGTTTGATCATTGCCCATGCAGTCCAGGCTATCCGAAAACATGGATACCAGCAGCCTACGCCGATCCAGGTGCAGTTGCAGTGACATGGAGGAACAATGATCTTAAATGCACCGAACAATCCGAAGGTTTTTATTCAAGGTTGTCCAATTTTAATATTCGCCAATCTTGGGTCAAGAACAAACTTAATGCTTGACCGTTTCTTAAAGGTATGGCTCCGGCACTTTTCCAGTCTTTTTGGATCCCACGTCACTTCACAACATTTGCATCATTTTGCATGCTTGCCCATGCTTTCCCATGCTTTCCCATACTTTCCCATGCTTTCCCACTAGCAAGCGAAATTATTGAGCTGAAATTTGTCTTCATGCAGTGTAAGGCGCAAGCCATGCCGGTAGCGCTCGCAGGCGCACATTCTAAGCCGAGAGAATTTTTGTAATCAATGATTTGGAACCGCTTTATTTCTAGAGTCTAGAGTTTGACGTCGTAATTTTGAAAATGGTTCTAGAAAGAGGACATGTCATGTCCACATTTGTGAGACATGCTCGCGATTGGCTTCCAATGTCGTTTGTTTTTGTCATCGTTTAGCAGCATGTGTGAGGTCGGGATGTTATCGGAATAGCCTGAGTCTCGGAGGCTGACGGGGCCTAGGCAAACGCCGATAGGCTCTCCATTGTCAGCTGCCACTGGGTCTATTTTATTGTTGACCGAGTATTGTATTTGTCAACTATTTGTCCACTATTGTCAATAGACTTGTAATTTGTGAAAGCTGCAGGATACGGTATGCGGCACATGTATATAACCAGAGGAGGATATAGAACGTGCAGAAGAAACTTATGATGACTGGCCACCAGAGCAGGTCCTATTCAAGCATGCAATGGGAAGGTATAAATGGGGGCTCCGCGGCTCCCAACCAATACAGGTACACGTACACAGTACACCACTCGAGCGATAAAAATGTCCTGCAACACCTTCTGTCTTGGTGCGGCAGCCACCTATCAAAAGCATTAAGGCAGAGACCGGAAGTGGCAAGACAGTGGCGTATTTGCTTCCGATGCTGGTGCATGCCATAGCTCAGCTGCGGAGCCCAGGCCGAGAGAGTGTGGAAAATGATTCACCTCATCACAAGATGCCAACAATGCAGAGCTTCTTTGTGCAGCGCTAGTTTGAGCGATCCAACCAGCCTTTGTCTGTGATTAGTTCTGTTAGTCCGTTCCTGGAATCAAGGCCAGAACTGCAGAAGGATGATGGGCCCATAGGCACAAGAGTGAAGCTTCTGCATTGCCATGGCTTCACTGATGCTCAATCATTGCTCTGTCTGTTTTAGTTGTTTTGTTTTAGCATGTTTTCGCCCTTTCAGTAGTGCCAATCTACGCTGTCGTATTCAAAATCTTTTCCCATGCAGCTGTGCACTGTTGGTGGAGAAATCAATAAATGACTGTTGGTCACAAAGACCAGCTACTTCTACC